ATCTTTCCGTATATGACCAGTTTTTAGATCTTATCAGTTCTTCCTTAGGGTCCCATATCTTTCCCTTTTTTCCATTCCTACAAGCTCTTATCCTAGTCTGAAATCTTTACTTTGGCAAGGCCCATTAAAGATGATCTTGTCTAGCTAACTACAAGGAATCAAGATTCTTAGAAGTTGTCTGAGAACCAGAAATACTGATTTGGAAATTCTGACTCCAAGTCCTGCTCACCCTTCCTTCCATAGCATTTCCCTAAGCTGGTCAGTAAAGCAGTACTAATAACTAGTAGCTAACCTAGTGACTAATAGGGGTAATGCAACAAACTTTTCTATAGCGTGGACTCCATAGCAAGCCCTGTTCTAAATCTTCAAATATAAGACTCATTTCACAGGGTACAATGACATTTTACATATAATCTACACTTGTAAAATCATTGCAATCAGCACAACAGGACATAGCATTTTAAAATCTGGCTATTAATTCCTACTCTGTTCCCGAGTCCCTGTGTGACCTCTTGCAACTCATTTGACTTTCAAGCCAAGGTTTCCTTCCTTGTAAAATGGTCTTTTAATCCTTTCTAGATGTAAAATAATATGATTTTGCATAGTCCACATTCTCACCCATCCTTATTGTAAGCTCGTTTCTAAAAAAGTTATCTCCTGGGCCGGCAGGTGGTGTGGAGGTTAAGGTGACTGGATCCCGTGTGGCTGACTGTGTGGTTCGAGTTCCATCCTGGTGGCTTGAAAAATGTGCTGGCTGTGTGTACATGCATGCCCAGAATCCTGAAAGGAGAATGGAAAGAAAGGGATTGCCATGTGACCATCCCATCTGGGGGTTGAATTTTTACTTCCCTTCTCTCACAGTCTCTCTCTCTCTTTCCAGCAAGCTCATGTACCCTATAGCAAACTATATTAAAAAAAAAATTACATTTTTTTCTTGGGCACTTTCAGAGATTACTTTGAGAAGCAGCTCATTCCATTGTTAGAATTCAAAATTGCTACCAAGTACTTCTTTTTTTATAAATGAAAAGAAAACTTTTATTCTCTTGCTGATAACTAGAGTTGCACTGTCCATAATATTGGGTCATTGGAAAAGGCATGACACATTTTGCTTAGAAAAACATAGAAAAATACTCATGACTTTTCCAACAACTCAATAGTAGTCACATATGGCTATTTAAATAGGGTAAATTTAATGAAATTAAAAATTCAGTTCCTCAATTTTACTAGCCACATTTCAAATACTCAGAAGCCACAAATGGTTAATGGTTACCATTTGGACATCCAACATCACCATGGTAATTTGTATTGGGTGGCGCTGCTGATGAGAAGTGGAGAATGACAGGATAGGCCTTTTCTTCTTTCTCCAGTTACTGTCATCATTACGTCATCTCTGGAGGATTGCACCTGACATGTAGGCTGTTCTTGGCCTTCATTCTTTCTCCCGAATATCATGATGAATTGCTTTTCTAAATTCCAATCTCATGACTTCTCCTTCAACCTTTCCTCTCTATTTTCCCTCTCTTCTACCTTCTTCTCTGAAAACCTTAAATTACTCTCAGCTTAATTTTTGGCCTTTTTTCTCCCTGGCCAATGTGATATTTAATTAAAACAAGATTTTTGGGCCAGCAGGTGGTATGGTGATTAGAGTACTGGATCCCACGTGGCCAACTCCACGGTTTGAGTCTACCACCAGTGGCTTGAATAATATGCTGGGTGCGTGCATATGCCTGGCTAAAATCCCGAGAGGAGAATGGAGGAGGAAAGATTGCACTTTTCTGGAGGATGTTTTTTCACTCTCTCTGTCTCTCTCTCTCGTGAGTGCTTGTGGCAAAAATCTAAATTAAAAAAAAAAATGTAGGGGCCTGGTTTTCGTTGTATATGCTGCTAAGATGCTGTGCATTGCAGGTGGGGGCTCTAGGTTTGATTCCTGATCCAACCTAAAGGCTGATTATGACTGGGAGGCTGAGACAGGAGGATCATGCCAGTGAGACCCTGCCTAAAAACAAAACAAAACCAGCATTTTTCCTCAGTAATTACATTTGCTTTTCTCCCATAGAAATTTTTTTTTAATATTCCATCCTTTTATTTATTTCTTTACTTACTTATTTATTTTGAATTGTCAGAGTATGCATGTGCTAGCCAGAGAGAAAGAGAAAGCACCCTCCCCCCCATGAGGCATGGTCATGCCACGATTCTTTTTCCTCTATCCCATCAAGATTTGGAGTACACATGCAAACATGCCTGACATGTTTTTCAAGCTGCTAGGACTGGGATTTGAACTCTGGTTGGCCATGTGAGATCTGTCTCCCAACGCACAGCACTTAACCAGTATGCTAAGTGGCTGGATTCTTTTGAAAAGAAGAACTCATCCTCATTGGGGCTGTTTGATAATCCTAACTTATCATTCATGTGAGAAAGGCAAGAGATGTTCTTAATTATTTCTTTAAATTGCCAATAGTTTTTGTGATTTTTGTTTGTTTGACACACTTATAAACTTCTATAAATGTAATGAGAATAATACAAGGAATTATTTTCTCCTAAACTATTTAAGAATAATTGGTGACATGATGCCCATCCCTCTCACATACTTTAGCGTGCCTTCCACAGACTTTTTGTATACAGCTGTAAGACAGCTACCACACTTGGGAAACTAGCAGCCATACATGACTGCTATTTGATTACAGCCATTCAGGATCACCAGTTGTCCTAAAAATTTCCTTGATAGTAAAAATGATCCCATCCAGAATTGTGTTGCATTCAGTTGTCATATTCCTTTAGTCTCTTTGTATCTAGAAATACCACCCAAGTCATGCTGTGCTATTCTCACTGTATCTTATCAACAGTTACACAATTTTATTTTGTCCTTATTTCCAGTGATATTGACTTTGGTCACTCGATTAATGTGGCATCTGCCAGTCTTTTTAACTATAAAGTTATGCATTTTCTCTTTATAATTAGTGTTTTCTGGTAAGGTACTTAGAGACCTCATATATATTCTGTTCCCAGGGGCTGGTAAGTGGCATGGTGGTTAAGGTGTTGGACTCCTGCATGGCTGACTATGGTTCGAGTCCCAGACTTGGTAGCTTGCTTTCTCTCTCTCTTTTTCTCTCTGTCTCTCCCTGGTCAAACTGAGTAATAATAAATTAAATAAAATAAATAATTCCTTTAAAAAATTCTATTCTCTAACAAATTTTGAATTTATTCATTTATATAATGATATTAGTATGGACTCATAGACTCCTGATTTAGGCACTGGATTGTCATCTGTGAATAACACTATTTTTTTTAAATTTTATTTATTTTTATTTTTTATTTCATTTTCTTTTATATATTCAATCACATTATTATTTGGCTTATGAAATGGATATTTCAACAGGTGAACATTTCTCCCTAGTACAGTTGATAAAACTACAAAAGATCTTCAACAGATAATACCACATTTCTTTGTGCCATTAATGCTTTGCCTCCCTATGACTGACACTATTTTGTTGTTCAAATTATTCCAGATTTGGCCAGTGGGAGCTTGTTCAAACTAGGTCTATGTCCTTTCCACATAAAAAGGTGTTTTAGCTTCATTTCACATTTCCTTGCTCCAGCCTTACAATCAGTAATGTCTCTAACCAGTTGTAGTTCCTTTAAAATCTTTAAAATCCTTTCAGTGAACACAGCTAGGAAGATATGTGCGTGTGTGTGTGTGTGTGTGTGTGTGTGTGTGCATGTGTGTACGTACATACGTTTGCAAATCTCTATTTCTTTATATTTTGGAACCATAAATTTATATCGTTATTGCTAATTCCAACCCAGTGTCACAGGGCCTATTCTAGTCTTTGCTCTTTCATACTTACAGTTTTGTTCTCTTTTTGAAACTCGTATTATCTTACATATATATGGATGTCCATGTGTTTCCGTTTTTGTTGGGAGATAGCTTTTCTCTATGAAGGAAACTAAAATGATCTCCTCTTTAACAGATTTTCTGAATTGTTTAACTCTCACAGGTTCATTTGATACTTTGTATTAATACTTCATATTTCATTTCTTTCATGAGAGCCCCCCAGCTAGTCAGGAGTACAGCCATATGTATCCCAAGTGTTCCGGTCAGTTGCAACCTGGGCCTTTCATACAACTCTACCATTGTGCAGTGGCACAACCATAATATATGCACAACTGTACAGCCATAATACTACCACCATGCCGCCACTGTAGCTGGGTCAAACATTCTGAGAAAGAGCAGGATTGTTCCAGCTGGTGGTGTGGTTGGGCAGCCAGATCCCTCTGGTCTACTGTGCTGCTGGAGTCCTGGCACGTGTGCATGCATGTGTGCCCAAAATCTTGAAAGGGGAGAGAAATGGAGGAGAGAGATTGTAGTGTGACCATTCCCAAGCGTGTGCTTTCTCACTTTCCCACTGTTTCTGTCCGGTGAGCATATGTGCCCTCTGGCTGGTTAAAACAGGGTTATGAACGGGAACCAGCAGTTAGCATAATGGCTATGTCGCTGGACTCCCACGTAGTCGACCGCGGTTCGTGTCCCGGACCCGGTGGCTTAAAACTCACGCCAGGCGCGTGTGTGTGCGTGCCCAAGATCCCGAGAGGAGAATGGAGGAGAAGGGATTGCGGCGTGACCATCCCCCCTGGGGGGTGATTTCTCGCTTTCTGTCTCTATGTCTCTCTCTGTCTGGCGAGCGCACGCACCCTACAGTGAAAATCTCTCCAAAAAAAACCCAAAAAAAACAAAAAACAACAACAAAAAAAAAACAGGGTTATGAACCATGTCTCCTAGGACTGTGTGGAATAACAGGGGTAATATATACAATGTCCTTAGCTTCATGTTTGAGCAAGTAAGTGCTTAGAGAGTGCTCTCTGTTGACTCTATTTATAGTTTTCCTCACTTCTTTTAAAATTCTTTATGAACAGAAACTATGTAATATTATGGAGTCCACATTTTACTTGATAATTTTTATTCTCATCATAATTTTTTTAATGTTTTCTCTTTTGTCTTGCAGTGATGAAACTAGAGAATCTTTTTGTGGGTGATTCAGGTCGATATTTGGCTATTCAATTTCATCTGGAATGTGGTTATATATTTTTATATTATTATGAGTATAAAAAGGCAAAAGATCAGTTCACTATTGCCAAAGACATTGGCAAATTACAAATTGATTTGACAGGTAAGGCTTTAATTATATGTGGATAATTAACTTTATTTTTATGGTAAAAGTAATGTATACATTGGGAGTTTGTATCGCATGTTAGAATTTATTTTCTGTGTCCTAGTCTCTGCTTTACAAAAGCAGATTTTAAAGATTTTATTTAAAAATTCACAACTGTACAGGTCAACAGGTGACATGGTGTTTAAGGCTCTGGACTCCCACATGGCAATGCGAATCAAATCCAGGACCCGAAGCCCTGAAAAATCACACCAGGCATGTGTGTTTGCATGCCCAAAATCCTGAGAGGAGAATAGAGAAGGGATTACAGCATGGCCATCCCTTCCTGGGGGAGGGGGATGATTTCTCTCTTTCCTTCTCTCCATCATCCTCTCGCGCATGCACATGTCCTATGGCATAAACCTAAAAAATATTTCACAATTGTAGAACACATTTGAAATGATGTGTTTTCTTTATTCCTAGAGAGTCTAAGTTATTGTTCTAGTACACTTGGACTGTGATAGTAGTAGAGAGCAGCTAGGCAGTGCACGGTGGGCTCTTGTCCATTTGGTTCTGGTGTAGGCCTCAGCGCCTCACTGTCTCCCAAGTGTAACTTGGCCTCTCTGCGTGGCCCCTTCTTCTAAATTCCCACATAATGTTTTCGTTCCACTGTTTTTGTATTGTACTTTGTATTCCATGAGTGGAAAATGTTGACTGCTTTGTTTACTTGAAGTTTCTTAATGCCTTAGAACTCTGACGTTAGTAAGTTCTCAATAAATATCTGTTGAATGAATGAATAAAAATTATAGAATTTCTCCTAAAACCTCTGTGCTTCTTCTGAATGCCAAGTTAGAAACACTGTTTTCTTTTTATGAAGTGCTCTGTGTGTAATGATTTACAATATAATCGGTATTCAATATTGAGTAAAATTTTTAAGAGGTTTTTGCCTTAGGGTATATGTCCTCCTGGAAAGAGAGACAGAGACAATGAGAAGTGAGAAATTCCCTACTCCCCCACCCCCCCGTCCCAGGAGGGGATGGCCATGCTGCTAATCCTTTCTCCATTCTCTTTCTAGGATCTTGGGTACGCACGCTCGTGAGTCTGTCATGAGTTTCTAGGCACCAGGCCTGGGACTCGAACCACAGTTGGCCATGTGAAAGTCCAGAGACGTAACCACTATGCCATCTGCTGGCCCCAGTATTGAGTAAAATAATGAAAGTCAGATGTAATCAGTTGATCATGCCATTTATACCTGTTTGAACCTGGGCTGGGCATTCTAGGATATGACCGCCTATCTGTGAACCTATTTGTATTCCTTAGGGTAGGTCTACATTATTTACTAGGCCTATTCTTTGGCCCCAGATTCTGTGGGTTTTGTTTGTTTGTTTTTCAAATTTTAGTGTTTTTATTTTATTTATTATTTTATTAAGTTTGCTATAGGGTGTGTGTACTCGCCAGAGACAAAGAAAGAGAGAAAGTGAGAAAGCAAGAAAGCAAGACGCCACGTCCATGTGGGAGTCTAGCACCTTAACCACCATACCACTTACTGGCCTCAGAATCTGTGTTCTTATTTTTTTTATTTTTTTTTATTTTTTTTTTTTTTATTTTTTTTTTTTTTTTTTTTGAGAGGTTTTTGCTATAGGGCGCGTGCGCTCGCCAGACAGACAGAGAGAGACAGAGAGATAGAAAGCAGGAAATCACCCCCCAGGGGGGATGGCCACGCCGCAATCCCTTCTCCTCCATTCTCCTCTCGGGATCTTGGGCACGCACGCACACGCGCCCGGCGTGAGTTTAAGCCACCGGGTCCGGGACTTGAACCGCGGTCGACTACGTGGGAGTCCAGCGACATAGCCATTACGCTAACTGCTGGTCCCAGAATCTGTGTTCTTATTGAGCAGGTCCTATCAATAAAATTCTTAAAATACAGTAAGAGTTAAATCTGACTCAATGGGCTGGTTTGGGATTTTAGGCACCTTTAGCTGATTGAGTGTATGGGGAAAATAATTTAATATCCAGCTTTGGGAACAATGGCTGTATATAAGTTGGAATATTGTCTGTATTTGAAAATATAGTTACATGTAATATAACTTTTGAAATTGGTGACAGATTTCTCTTTTTGAGAATTTTGCTCTTAGGAGGCTCTTTGGGGACCATTTTTAAGATTCATGGCACAGTATTGTGTATATTTAGCTTTAACTTTTGATATAGCTACCAGTTTATAGTAATTTTTTCTTTTCTAAGGTAAGGGTTAATGAACTTAAAAATATGCTATATAATAAAACGAGAATCACATTATAATTTTTTTTTCTTTTACTCAACTGTAACCTTAAATAGTGAGCTGTGTTAAATCATTTCAGTTGCTTTATTTAGCCTAAAATGTTTAAAAGGTTGATGTATAACTTAGAGCCAGATCGATCCCAGGATAGAATCCAGACTTCTTACACTGGTCTTTGTAATCAAGGATCTTTGTCATTCTAACCCTTACCAGAGAATGGATGTTATTTCTCTTGAAGTCATTAGAAAACAGTTATTCTTCACCAAATTATTTCAGGGATATAATGAAAAAATGTTGGTGTTACATGAAGCCAGATAGTTTAAAGACTGAGAGGTTTTAAAACCTGAAGAAGACCCAAGCTTTAGACTCTGGCTCTGATACTGAGAATCCCTGTGATAGTGAACAAGTGACTGTCTCGGGACCTCCATGTTTTCATCTATTTATACGGGGGTAATAATGGTCTTCTACCTACAACACGTGATGAGTTACTGATTTTCGAGGACAGAGGTAGTTGGTGCAGAACTGAGTATGTAGACTCGAGTTTGAGTCCTGGCACCATAGCTTATTAGCTTTATAATTTTATAAGTCATTTTAATATATACTAGGCCTCATGTGTCTCTTATGTGAAATGGAGAAAACACCATATAAACTCTAAAGCACTCCGAAAATACTGTTGGGTCATCAGAAAAGTCATGATGCATTTTTACACTGAAAAAGAGAAAATCCATTATGACTTTTCTGATGACCCAGTACTTTTCATGATTATGAAGTAGATCTGATTGACAAATATATGTGTGTGTATGTACACGTGTGTGTGTATGTGTGTGTGTGTATAAATATATATATATATATCTATATATATATATATCCTTTTTTTCCCCCAGGTGCTTTGGGGAAAAGGACACGTTTCCAGGAAAATTATGTGGCACAACTGATTGTGGATGTAAGAAGGGAAGGAGATGTCCTTTCAAATTGCGAATTCAGTCCAGCACCCACTCCTCAGGAGCGTTTAACAAAGGTATGTAGGATTGTAAGTTATTTAATTCAGTTAACATGTACATCTAACTATTTCAATAGGCGAATACTGTAGATAGGCTAAATGGGGTGGAAAGAGACTTTATTTTTTCCTTTCTTAAGCCTTTTCAAGGTGACTAGGGTTTGGAGAACTTTTGTGTTTAAGTTTTTTTTTTTTTTTGGGTGGGGGAAATGTTTTTGCTAAAGGGGGCATGCACTTGCCAGAGAAACAGAAAGTGAAAAATCCCCCCCTCCCCTGAGGGGATGGCCATGCCACAATCCCTTCTCCTCCATTCTCCTCACAGGATCCTTGGGACGCACACATGTGCCTGGTGTGAGTTTAAGCCACCGGGTCTGGGACTCGAACTGTGGTCGACTACATGGGAGTCCAGCGACATAGCCATTACGCCAAACTGCTGGTCCCAGGCCATTTTTAACTACTCTTAGGTGCAGGTAAATGATGTTTTTCTTCTAGAATTCAGTAAATACAAATTAATTATGCGGACAGTTTTCCCTCCTTGAAGACATATAAAAGGTAGACCGAGTAGAGTAATTTCTTTTACTTGCTACTACATTTGTATCCTTATGTACTTTCTCTGGGTATTTTTGAACCTTCAGAGTCTCTAAATTTCTTGGGTTTCCTGTAAATATGTAAACAGATGATCAGAATTCCTTTTCACTAATTTTATGATCTGCTTTTTGTTATTCTGTCATTATTGAAATGGTTACTGCCTTCATATGTATTTTTTTGACTTGTCTAATGAATTCTGTTGTAGCTTGAACTTAGAACTCTTGGTCAATTTATATACTTATAGGCCTCTAGATGCTCCTACGGAGGACATTATTTGCATTTATGTATTTTTGTCTTACATCAGAAGGTGTATGCACATAATGGAGAGTGAGAGAAAGTACCCTGCTCCCCCACCCCCGATAGGGCTAGTCATGCCATAGTCCTTTTTCCTCCATTTCTCTATCCCATCAGGATCCTGGGCATGTGCACTTGCATACCTAATATGTTGCTAGGATTGGATTTGAACCATAATCGACCGACTAAGGGAAGCTAGCCCCCTCTGCATAATATTTAACACTGCTCTGTTATATTGATATGTTCTGATCCCAGAGAGCCCAGCCTTCATGCTGCCCCAGATAACAGACAAGTCTATGCCTTGTATACTCAGGGAAGTCTCTATGTGAACTGGGAACCTTCCCATGTGATATTGCCTTGAAGAGTTGCATTTTTCTGCTGCAGCAGCATCTGGCCCCCAGCCCTGCCTCTTAAGGGGGCTCATTCAGGGAGAGACTTTTGCAGTGAAGACTGAGGCCTGAAGTTTTGTGTTCTTCCTAGTCCCCATTGTTAGGGGTTGCAGTACTTTTTTCTTGAACCCTTATGGATAAAAACTAGGCCTAGAGTTCGTTGAATTTGAGGCTAGACAAGGAAAGCTGTTTCTCTGATCTGTGCTGGGCAGATGAACTACTTACCTTAGCTCCCTTTTCAAAGCTCAACCTCTTAGTCATAGTAATTGCTAGCCTTCTGATACTGGGGGTCTCTGCCTTGCTCTGTGGGGCTCCTAAAGATCTTCCTTGTTGTAACTGTACTTTAGTTGGAGTTTTGATAAATACACCCAAGTAACCACTACCCCACTGAAAATATAGGACACTTCCATCACTTCAAAAGTCACCTCATACTCTGTTACAGGCAATCACTTTCCTTTCCACTGCACTGCTTTTTATTGCAAATTACATCTGCCTTTTCTAGAACATCAAATAAACAGAATCATACAGTGCGTATTCTCTCACGGCTGCTTCTGTCGCTCGGCGTGTTTTCATCCCTGTTGCAGTACCAACAGTTAGCTCCTCTTTATTGCTGAGTCGTAAACCAAATGCGTTATCAGTTCCGTTGCCGGGCATTTGAGTTGTTTCTAGCAGCCTCTTGTGAATAAAACTGCTTAAATCTCTGTATGAGTTTTTGTGTAAATGTATGTTTTTAATGCTTTGGGATAAGTATCTGGAGCCGAATGGCTGGGTCATGAGGTTAAGTGTATTTTTAACCTTATGAGAAACTGCCAAACTGTTTTTCTAATTGACTGTACCAGTTTTACATTCCTCCCATTAATGTTTGAGAGTGCCAAACACCCTGGTCTGCTTTCTGTGATTACTGATAGTTTGCCTTTTCTAGAATTTCATATGAATGAGATCATACAATAAGTTTTATATCTGGCTCCTTTTTTAGCATATTTTTGAGTCCTATGTTGTTGCATATGTCAGTAGTTCCTTTTTATTGCTGAATAGAATTCCTTTGGTTGGATATAACATAATTTTAAAAATCTGGTATTTATTTATTTATTTAGGAGAGGTTTTTGCTATAGGGCGTGTGCGCTCGCCAGATAGACAGAGAGAGACAGAGACAGAAAGTGAGAAATCACCCCCCAGGGGGATGGTCACGCTGCAATCCCTTCTCCTCCATTCTCCTCTCGGGATCTTGGGCACGCACGCACATGTGCCTGGCGTGAGTTTAAGCCACCGGGTCCGGGACACGGACTGCAGTTGACCACATGGGAGTCCAGTGACATAGCCATTACGCTAACTGCTGGTCCCAGAAATCTGTTTATTTTTTAACAGATATTTAGGCTGTTTCATGTTTGGGGCTATTACAGATAAAATGGCTCTGAATGTTTATGTACATGTCTTTGTGTGGACATACACGTCCATTTGTCTGGGATAACTACTTAGGAGTAGAATTAATGGTTTATATAGTAAACATAAGATTATTTTAAGAAACTGGCAAACTGTTTTCTATGGCTTTATCATTTTTACTTTTCCACCAGCAATGTATGAAATGTTACAGACCCATGCCATCATTTGTGTGTATACTAGTAGTTCATTTCTGATATTTATTACTTTTTCTATTTTGACTACTATTGTTGAAGATTTTTTTGTATGCTTATTACCAATTCATAATCTTCTTTCATGCATTGTCTGTGTCCCTTTTTTTTTTTTTGAGAGGTTTTTCACTATAGGGCGCGTGCGCTCACCAGACAGAGAGAGACAGAGAGACAGAAGGCGAGAAATCACCCCCCAGGTGGGATGGCCACACCACAGTCCCTTCCCCTCTTCTCCTCTCGGGATCTTGGGCACGCACGCATACGTGCCCGGCATGAGTTTTAAGCCACTGGGTCCAGGACGCGAACCACAGTCTACTACGTGGGAGTCCAGTGACATAGCCATTATGCTAACTGCTGGTCCCATGTCTCCCTTTTTTTTGAGAGAGAGTATTTTTGGCTATTGGCTGTGGACACTCGCTGGAGATATATAGAGAGAGAGACAGAAAGCAAAAATGCACCACCCCCCCCAGCAGGGGTAGCCACACCACAATCCCTTCTCCTCCATTCTCGCATGCACATGCACATGCACCTGGTGTGAGGTTTAAGCTGTCGAGTCCAGGATTTGAGCTGTGATGGACTATGCGGGAGTCTAGTAATGTAACCATTATGCCGTCTGCTAATCCCATCAATGACCCCTTATTTTTTATTTTTTTAAGAGAAGTTTTTGCGGGGAACCAGCAGTTAGCGTAATGGCTATGTCGCTGGACTCCCACATAGTCGACCGCGGTTCGTGTCCTGGACCTGGTGGCTTAAAACTTACGCTGGGCGCGTGTGCGTGCGTGCCCAAGATCCCGAGAGGAGAATGGAGGAGAAGGGATTGCGGCGTGACCATCCCCCCCGGGGGGTGATTTCTCGCTTTCTGTCTCTATGTCTCTCTCTGTCTGTCTGGCGAGCGCACGCGCCCTACAGTGAAAATCTCTCCCCCCCCCCAAAAAAAAGAGAAGTTTTTGCTATGGGGAGCTTGTGCTCACCAGGAAGACAAAGAGAGACAGAGAGACAGAAAGTGAGAAATCAACCCCCAGTGGGGTTGACCACACCGCAATCCTTTCTTCTCCATTCTCCTCTTGGGATCTTGGGCACACATGCACACGCAACCAGTGTGAGTTTAATCCACCAGATTCGAGACTTGAACCGTGGTCGACTACATGGGAGTCCAGTGACACAGCCATTATGCCAACTGCTGGTCCCATCAATGCCCTTTTTAAAACTGGGTTATTTGTTTTCTTATATTGAGTTTGAGAGTTCTTCATTTCTTTTTTTTCTTTTTTTGGAGAGGTTTTTTTTTATTTTTTTATTTTTTTTTTTTGCTAGAGGGCTCGTGCACTCACCAGACAGAGAGAGACAGAGATACAGTGAGAAATCACTCCCCAGGGGGCATGGACACACCGCAATCCCTTCTCTTCCATTCTTCTCTTGGGATCTTGGGCATGCATGCACACGCGCCCGGTGTGAGTTTAAGCTATCAGGTTCACGACTTAAACTGCAGTTGACTACGTGGGAGTCCAGCGACATAGCCATTACGCTAACTGCTGGTCCCTCCATATTTTTTCGAAGCATTATTTTATTTTATTTGTTGTTATTTTTTTAATTTGACCAGAGAGAGAGAAACAGAAAGTGAGAAAGCAAGCCACCAGGGTTGGGACTCAACCCGTGGCATATGAGAGTCCAGACCTTTAACCACCATGCCACCTGCTGGCCTGAGTTCTTCATATTCTCAATACAAGTTCCTTTTCGGTATGTGTTTCTTGAATATATTCTTTGAGTCTGTGCTTTGTTTTTCTTCTTTTGTTTTAATTTTGCCAACGGACACATGCACTCACAAGAGGGAGACAGAGTGAGAGAAGAAAGGTGGAAAAGTACCTACCACAGGGAATGGTCATAGTACAATCCTTTTGCTTTTTCCCCCCGCCCGCCTTTTGGGATTTGGGGCATGCACACACATGCTCAGCATGTTTTTCGCACTGCTGGGTCTAGGGCTCAACCCAAAGGATCATCCCTGTGGGATCCAGCTGTTTTCACCACCATGCCAACAGTTGGCCTCCTTTTTATTTTCTTAACAATAATTTCAAAGAATAGAGGTTTATATTTTGATTAAGTCCTTTTATAGTTCATGTGTTCTATATCCTTATTAACACTCTCTATTTTGGGACCAGCAGGTGGTATAATGGTTACATCACTGAACTCCCATGTGACCAACTGTGGTTTGAGTCCTAGATCTGGTGTCTTGGAACTCATGCTGAGTGCATGCGTGTGCATGCCCAAAATCCCGAGAGAATAATAGAGAAGGGATTGTGGTGTGGCCATCTCCCCTGAGGTTGATTTCTCACTTTCTGTCTCTGTCTCTCTGGCAAGTACACGTACCCTGTAGCAAAAATCTATCTCAAATAAAAAAAAGATTGTCTATGTTCCCCAAGGTCACAGAAGCTTTTCTTTATGATTTCTTTTTCTCCTTTTATCTTTTTACATCAGAGTCTGTTATCAATTTTGTCTTACTTTTTGTTAATGAGACAAGTTGGAGGGTCATATTTTTTTCCAAAATGCATATTATATTCAGTTGTGCCAACATCACACATTGAAAACATTTTTCCTGTTGAATCACCAGAGTACCTTCTTTGAAAATCTATTGACTGTAATTATCTGAATCTGTAATTTGGACTGCATTTTGCTCTGTTCATTTATATGTACATTCTTATGGCAGTACCACTCTGTCTTGGCTTCATAGTAATTCTTAAAATCAAGCGCTCAAAAGTCCTCATTTTTTTTTCCCAAAGAGTTTTGTCCATTTTAGATCTTTTGCTTTTCCAGATAAACTTTAGAATTAGCTTGTCAATTTGGTATTTCTATCATTAACAACAAATTGTTTATTAGCTGATTACATTATACTATTGAGATACAGAGCTGAGAGTTGATGTGTTGGATTAATATTTAGAAACAGAGTAGAAAGATTTGGTTTGGAATCCGGGTGGTGCTGCATACTCTGTGACCTTGGGTTAACTTTTTGAAGTGTCCAGGTCTTTACTTCCTCATCTCTAAATGGAAATAGAAGTGCCTGTTGTGTAGGATCATTGTATGAACAAAACATATAAGTAAAATTGTCAGCAGAGGAGCTTTTGCATACCTAGCTCAATTAAAGTTATGGTTGTTCCCTCTTATTGTTGTCAGTGCATTCTTGAGGTATAGATGGCACATCTTCTATTTCTACCAGATAAATCGCTCTCAAATAGAGTTTCACAGGAAGCTGTCTATTGACCATATGTCAACATTATGTAATCTTAAACAAAAAGGTAATTACCTTTATCCCCTCCCCAGCAATCTAATACATACTATTTCGTTGAATGAATCTAATTTGAATTTTGGTTCAAATACTTTTTTATTCCACCAGAATCTTGAGCTCAATGACGACACAGTTCTGAATGAGATAAAGTTAGCAGACTGTGAACAGTTTCAGATGCCTGACCTTTGTGCTGAGGAGCTTGCTGTTATCCTTGGAGTCTGGTAGGTTAATGACTACCTTGGCTATTTTGAACACCTTGTATCTTGGTTTTCTTGCGTTTGGGGAAATCTTTCTTCAAGGAGGTCCCAAGAGCTCTGGGTGAATAGGGAATTTTGTAGTGCTAATGAAGATCAAGAAAGAATAGTTAAACAGTCTTAAAGGATTAGAGATTACGACTCTCCTGTGACTTGATGTACTCATTCTTCTCTGTCTTTCATAAGTAAAGTTTCTTCAGTTAACCTTAGCTAGGAATAGATTATTTTTTTGTTGTTGTCGTTAACATTTATTTATGATCATGCTGCAATACCTTATCCATTTCTCGATCCTATTGAAATTTTGGGCATATAGGCACAGGTACTTGGCATGTTTTTCAAGTAACTGGGGCTAGGATTTGAACCACTGTCAGCCATGTGGGATCTGGCTCTTAACCACCAGGCTTTGGGGCCTGCCTGAGATCTATGTTTAAAACAAAATTATTTCATAATATTTCCCTTTCCTGCTCATTTATTTTTCTTTACCAACAATAAAAATAGGTTCATTTATAAATGATTATACAAGGGTCTAGCAGGTGGTGTGCTGGTTAAGGGTGTTGGATTCTCACATGGCATAACATCATTTGGGTCTGAGACACAGAGGCTTGAAAATCATGCCAGGTGTACATACATGCCCAAAATCCAAGAGGAGAATGGAGAAGGGATTGTAGTATGGCAGTCCCCCTGGGTCCCCCCCCCCACACACACACACATTTCCTCTCTATATCTATCTTGGTAGAGTGCACATGCCCTATGGCAAAAACCTGAAAAAAAAAGCAATATTATGCAAATATTTCATACTCATAAAATCTCCAAACAGTATTGGAAAGGAAGTAATGTAAGAAAGTACTTTATAGGGTGATATTGTCTTCTCATTCATAATGTATATAATATTTACATAAAAATAATTTATATACTATATAAATGTAAGTTATATAGTGTAATAATACAAGCACGCATGAAACCCACCACCCAATGTAAGAACTAGAAGATTACAAACACCAGTAGCCCACCTCATGAACTTTTTTCACATCTCATTCTGCCTCACTTCAAAAGATAACAGCTATTTTGAATGTTATGTTTGTTATTTTCCTGCCTTTAAAAAAATATGTATATATTTAGAGGCCAGCAGGTGGTGTGGTTAAGGCACTGGAATTCCATATGGGTGATTGTGGTTTGAGTTCTGGACCCGGAGGCTTGAAAATCATGCCAGGAACTTGTGCGTGCGTGCCCAAAATCCCAGGAGGAGAATGGTGGAGAAGGGATTGTGGCATGACCATCCCCCAGGGGGTGATTTTTCACTTTCCTTTTCTCTGTGTCTCTCTGTCTCCTCTCCAGCAAGTACACGTGCCCTAGGGTGAAAACTTAAACACACACACACCACCACAACACATATTTATCTTTTAATTTTTTATTTTTTATGCCTGTAAGTGAATTGCTTCAATTTCATTGTTTTTGAGCTTTATGAAAGTGGTACTTTGATATGTAGTCCTTTGTGATTTGCTTTTTTTCCTCTGATTTTTGTGTTTCATTGATTCATGTTATTACATATAGTTGCAACTTACATTGCAGTATAGCATCCCAATGGATGAATTTATCATAATCTATGATTTTCCTTACACACAATATTAAAATGAATATTTATGTATATATTGACCAATACTCCCATTCAAGAATTTCTCTGGCTCTAAAACGAGTTTAAAATTACTGAGTCACAGATTTGTGAATATTCACTTTATAAAATAGTGACATATTTTTTTCCAAAATAATTCTGCCAAGCCAGCTATACTTGGATCAGCCAGATCTAAGAATGCCTATTGCTATACCTCTTCAACAACTTCTTAGTTTTTACCCGTCTAATGGTTACAGTAATATTTTCTTTTTTTGATGGGAGGCCTGAGTGTAATAAATGGGATTTTGTACCTTATTAATTTACTTATTTCCAAATTGGATGTCTTTTTTCCCTAGTAAGATAACTTACATTTACATTTGATATATCAGCCACATTTTATTTGTTCACATTTTATTACTTTTTATACTTTGGCAATCTTGTACCTGTGCTTGTATATAGTGCCATAATATTAAAATATACACTTCAAAATATATTAGAATAGGGACCAGCAGTTAGCGTAATGGCTGTTGCTGGACTCCCATGTAGCTGACCACAGTTCGAGTCCTGGACCCGGTGGCTTAAACTCACGCCGGGCATGTGTGTGTGTGTGCCCAAGATCCTCAGAAGAGAATGGAAGACAAAGGATTGCGATGTGCCCATCCCCCCAGGGGATGATTTCTCACTTCCTGTCCCTCTGTCTCTCTCTGTCTTTCTGGTGAGTGTACGTGCCCTATAGCAAAAATTCTTTCAAAAAAATAATAAATAAAAATAAAATATATTAGAATAAAGTAGTTTACTTTTTCTTTTTCTTTTTTCTTTTTTTAGCTTTTTTCTATAGGGCATGTACAGTCAAGAGAGAAGGAAAGTGAGAAATCATCCCCCAGTGGGGATGGCCACACTGCAATCCCTCCTCTTCTCTTTCTGGGATTTTGGCCTGTACAAATACGCGCCCATGCCACCTGCTAGCCCCTACTTTACTTTTTAAATACTTATATTTCATTGGGACCAAAAGATGGCATAGTGGTTACATCGCTGGATTCCAACATGGCCGACGCGGTTTGAGTCCTGGACCTGGTGTGTGTGCATGTGTGCCCAAGATACCTGGAGGAGAGTGGAGGAAAAGGGATTGCAGTGTGGCCATCCCCCGAGGGGTGATTTCTCAATTTCTCTCACACTGTGTCTATATGTTTCTCTCTCCGATGAGCACACATTCCCTAAGACAGAAACCTCTAAAAAATTATATTTTATTAGCTACAGTATGCATGTTAGTTAGAATTAATTTACTGTGTGCCCAAGATCCTCAGAAGAGAATGGAAGACAAAGGATTGCGATGTGCCCATCCCCCCAGGGGATGATTTCTCACTTCCTGTCCCTCTGTCTCTCTCTGTCTTTCTGGTGAGTGTACGTGCCCTATAGCAAAAATTCTTTCAAAAAAATAATAAATAAAAATAAAATATATTAGAATAAAGTAGTTTACTTTTTCTTTTTCTTTTTTCTTTTTTTAGCTTTTTTCTATAGGGCATGTACAGTCAAGAGAGAAGGAAAGTGAGAAATCATCCCCCAGTGGGGATGGCCACACTGCAATCCCTCCTCTTCTCTTTCTGGGATTTTGGCCTGTACAAATACGCGCCCATGCCACCTGCTAGCCCCTACTTTACTTTTTAAATACTTATATTTCATTGGGACCAAAAGATGGCATAGTGGTTACATCGCTGGATTCCAACATGGCCGACGCGGTTTGAGTCCTGGACCTGGTGTGTGTGCATGTGTGCCCAAGATACCTGGAGGAGAGTGGAGGAAAAGGGATTGCAGTGTGGCCATCCCCCGAGGGGTGATTTCTCAATTTCTCTCACACTGTGTCTATATGTTTCTCTCTCCGATGAGCACACATTCCCTAAGACAGAAACCTCTAAAAAATTATATTTTATTAGCTACAGTATGCTGTTAGTTAGAATTAATTTACTTTTTTTTTTTCACTTTTAAAGCACAAATTTCCAAAAGAATAACCCAGTGCATAAGTTAACTGAAGAGGAGCTGCTGGCATTTACATCAGTGAGTAATATCTTTTTCTTTTCCATTTTTTTTTTCCCTCATAAATTATTTTGTCTCTGGTATGTTCTTGCTCCAGATTGCTCTTGTTGAAACACTGACTCCTAAGGAAGTTAAGGAAGGAAAAAAATCATTTTTAATTTCCAAGCTGCATGTGTCTTGCTGCTGATATTTCAACATAGCCTTTTTTTTTGTACTTGCTTGTTTTTGATGGCAGTGACCAAATATCTCTTGTTCATTCTTTTTCCCTAGAGCCTACTCTGTTATCTTGTACATAGTAGATGCTCAGTAAATATCCGTTGAATGAATAAATGAAGTTAACAGAGCCAGAACCATAATAGTCTGTACCTCTTATGCTTAAAACTGAGGTGATGCCTACATAGATGATGTGGTGAGGAAGAGAATTAGTGGCAGGAGCAGGACAGCATGGGTCGTAGAGGCCAGGCAGGAAGCTGGGGGTGTCAAGAACATGGGGTGCTCATGTGCATTCCACAGTATAGAGCAGACTGGAGAGAAATATAGACAAGGGAAAGGCTGTGGGATTTGACAAGTAAGTATGTATTGCTTGCTTTTGGGACAGTGGAATATCTGGATAGTTCCCTCATGACAGAGAATTAAGGGAATGGGACATAAGAAAATAAACTGAAAAGGTAAAGACCATAGTTGGAGAAGAGTGGCAGTGAAAAAGAAGGTGGAGTAATAAATGTTTAGGATTGAGATCAAAGAAGAGTTTTTGAGAAGAGATAAGTCACAGAGGAGAAATGAGTAAGTCACTTTCTCTTTAACTTTACGGCTAAAAAAACACATGTATGTTCTTTTACAGACATAAAAGTTACTTAAGACATAATTTTTCAAAGTAATTTTTATTATCATAGTTAGGAATCAAGTTAGAATTCTATTGTTTTCTTCTTTTGCCATTGTTCAAATAAGTCAAAAGAAAGTGTTTTTATCTGGTAGAAAGAAAAACTAGCTTGCTTTGTACTGTAATGTAACTTTTGCATATTATTGTTTCCTGTATACCCTCTTGAAACTGGTTAGATGCTAGTCATTTGTATCCTTTTGGTACCTGTTTGTCTTTCCCACTTAAATATTCTTAGAAATCTTTTGTATGTATCAGTATATCATGTATGTTTTAGGGAACTATTTGGAAATGTCTCTGTTTATTCATTTAAGAATTTGGCAAGTAAAGTGTTAAGAAAAAGTACCTCCCATTTATTTAGTCAAGTAATGCCTATTAAATACTTCATATATATAGGCATTGTGTTGGTCTTTGGTTTGCCATAGCAAACAAAGTCTTTTTCCTTCCAGAGTTTACATCCATTCAGATTCTTGCTAGGGAAATACACTGTAGACAAAAAGATAGGTAGATGCTTAGTAGAAGTGCTGAGGGAAACTATAAAGCAGGGTCAGGGACTGAGAATGGGATAGGCATGACTGTTGGAGATCTCACTGGGAAGGGAACACACATCTGCATGGAGTGAGACACGGGAAGGGTAGGGAGGGTGTGGGATGGCCATGAGCTTGAGTTGTTGTCAGAAGTACAGAGCTGCATGGGGACATGTGTCTAGATGATACTGGGTGACTTGGAGGCTTAGATTTTCTCCTAATGATTAATGTAAACAACGGGGAATATTTTTTAAAGAATTGTTTATTTAATATTATTTATCATTATTATTATTTTTTAATTTGCTATAGGGCACATGCACTCACGAGAGAGAGAGTCAAAGAGATAGAAAGCTGCCAGGCCTGAGATTCAAACTACAGTTGCCCATGTGGGAGTTCAGTGCCTTAACCACCATGCCTCCATGGTGTTAGATACTTTGTTTTTGGGAGAGGTTTTTGCTATATGGTGCGTGCGCTCGCCAGAAAGAGAGACAGAAAGTGAGAAATGACCCCCCACGGGGGATGGCCACCCTGCAGTCCCTTCTCCATTCTTCTCTCGGGATCTTAGGCACACACGCACATGAACCTGGTGTGAGTTTAAGCCACTGAGTCTGGGACTTGAACTACGGTTGACTACATAGGAGTCCAGCCATATAGCTATTAGCCATCTGCTGGTCCCCTATGAGATACTTTTGAAGTAATTATGATTAACTCTGATAACTTCTGATGGTAGGTGACTCATCACTCCTAGCTTGCAACAAAGGTCATAAATTCAAGTTTCATTCTTCTCTCCTGAGGGCTTTGTGCTCTGACTTCTCCTCCAGCTCTCCTACAAATCAAAACAGACTTGAGGACTAATCTTTTTTGGAAGAAAGCTGTTTGATTAGTGTAACTCTCATTGTCTAGCCTTACTCTTCTAATGAGATGATTAAAAAATATATATATATGTGTGTGTGTATGTGTGTATGTATATGTGTATGTATGTATGTGTATATTTTTTAATGTGTGTGTGTATATATATATTTTTTAAATCTATTTATTTTGTTGCAGTTTTCAAGCTGCCATTTCTGAGAGTTGAACTGCAGTCAGCCATGTGAGAATCCAGTAACTTAACCACCACACCACTTGCTGGCCCCAAGAGATGAGTTTGTTAATCTCAAATAAATCTTGGGACTGGCAAGTGGCATGGTTAAGGCACTGGATTCCCATATGGTTGACTCTGGTTCAAGTCTGGGCCTGATGGCTTGCTTTCTCATTCTCCCTCTTTCTCTCTCTGGTCAAATTGAAGAATAATGATAATATTAAAAATAAAATAATTATTATAAAACCCTCAACTGAATCTTTAATTACTAAGACGTGGGGCAAGAAGCTTATATGTGAGGAGGGCTTTTAGGAGCCCCATGTTTTACTTTGGGCCCTTTCCTACCTCCCCACCCTCACCTACATGTTTGTCCTCCTCCTTTCCTCTTCTCCTTTTTCTCCCCTCCTTCCTCTCTTCTTTGTTCTCCTCTTCCTCCTCCAAATGAAACATACAAAACACATCAGAAAAATAAAAATAAGCCTTTGTCTATTCTTTTATCTTTCAGTCCTTCCTCTTATCCCTCTGGGTGTGTGATACTGAAGTGGGTAAGGTGATGCAATAGAAGTAGATCCTGGTATCGAAGAAAGAAACTGTATTTATGTCCTGTAACACTCCAAGAGAGTATTTGAGACAAGAGGGAGTACTTCTAGGTACTACTCCACTTCTGAACTCTTGAACTATTGTCCATGTCTCTCTTTTGGCAAGGGTCATATTTTGGCTTATATTATAGTTACTTACGTACTTATCAGATCTTCCTTGTAAGACTGTAAATGCCAGGTTTTAGAGACTTGCTCTGTTTTCTTTTCTTTTTTTTTTTTGAGAGAGGTTTTTTTCTATAGGGCACATGCATTCACCAGAAAGACAGAGACAGAGACAGAGAAAGCAAGAAATCACCCCTCAGGGGGGTAGGCAATGCTGCAATCTCTTCTCCTCCATTCTTCTCTCGGGATCTTGGGCACACACGCACATGCGCCCAGTATGAATTTAAGCCACCGGGTCCGGGACTCGAACCACGGTTGACTACATGGGAATTCAGCGACATAGCCATTACACTAACTGCTGGTCCCTGAGACTTGTCTCTGTTCTTTTCTGAGTTTTCTATAAGGCCTGGTACAGTGTCTCAGTGATTTACTCATGGTTGCTCAGTAAACGTGTGCACAATAAGAGAATGAATAACATGGACTAGAATAGGATTTATTCATTTTTTTTTTTGGAGAGGTTTTTTTTTGCTACAAAGAGTGTGCGTTCACCAGAAAGAGAGACAGAGAGACAGAAAGCAAGAAATCATCCCCCAGGGTGATGGCCACACCCCAATCGCTTCTCCTCCATTCTCCTCTTGGGATCTTAGGCATGCACGCACGCCCACCTGGCATCAGTTTAAGCCACTGGGTCAGGAACTTGAACTGCTGTCGACTATATGGGAGTCCAGCGACATAGCCTTTACGCCAACTGCTGGTCCCTAGAATAGGATTTATGCTTGTTCTCCAGCTGCACTGCTCCGCCAAGTTTTATAATTTAGGTAGCACTACATAATTGAAAGGATAACCACTTGTTTCATCTTCCTTTCCTGCAAGATGGGAGAATGGGTGATAGCTCCACCCCAGCCCTGAGAAGTAGTTTTGAGGATTGCATTTCAGAATGTATATGGAAGTACTACGAATAGACAGAGGCTCATGCAGACAGAGCATTCAGTAAAAAGTCAGGTCTTCTGGTCACTGGTTTGAAGGGGAACAGCCCTATTTTCAAGCAACCTAAGTAGAAGACCTGTTTGGAATTGACTGGAGATTTAGAAGATGAGAGAACAAAGAAGAAAGAAACAGCATACTTTTTCTTGCTGAGTACTCATTTCTGTCTTCTGGCAGCAGCTTGGTGTCCTGGGACTGAGGTTGTGAACTATTGAGGCTATGAAATACCTTCCTCCACTGATAGAACAACAAGGATAGCAGAAGTCTTAATACTGCTACTAGGGATTGTAAGCAGCAGGTGGGATAAGGACCATGGTTATTTTATGCTTGGTAAATATTTATCGAATAAACAAATGAATGGTTTATTGGTCCTGAATTTCATTCAGTTTTATCGAACTTTCCTAAAGTATACTAAAATGATGGTGAAATATCTTTCCTGGAGAAATTTGGCCAGTGTTTTTATGTTGATGCAACATATTAAAGTATACGTAAGATATATTGGGAACATATTTTAATTCAGCAAAGCCAGAAGCTAGTTTAAGAGAAATAGTTGTATTGTTTAAGGTTGTCATTATGCGTTGCTGTTCCTGGGATATTATATCTACATGTTTCAGGAAAACTGACTGAGTCACAGTAAAAATAACTCATATTGTTTTAGAAAGCCATTTATGTTGTACCAGCCTGATAATTTAAAATTAGCTGTGTTATCTATGTTATTTCCTTTTAGATGAGCCAAGCCGGTACCGTTCAGTAATGCTTTTAAATTTCCTTTCATTGTTGAAAATGGGAACAATTTAGTTCATTCATACAGGTGTTTCAGTTTTCATTGGCAAAAGTTATGTTTAAGTGTGAAT